CTCTGTGTCTGTTCCTTGAAGAAGTACCTGTTGTTTTTTAGACATTTAAAGCACACCCCAGCCTTAAGCTGTCTTATCTACATTCTAACTAGTTTCAAGGGGCACCTTATCCGATGTAAGAAGGCTCTAATGATTAGTGGAGAGGGGAGGATTTTGTTTTCTTTCAATGGCTTCCTTGTTGAAGTTCAGTCACTTGTCAAACAGGAAAACAAAAGCCAGGGTATGCTGTTGTTTGTGGGTCCTGGTAGTCATGCAGAAATGCCAGGAGGGAATTGGAAAATGTTAGGTGTGAGCCTTCCAAGAGGACCTGTTACAGGGGAACCTGCTTATAATGACCTTGGACACAAAGAAGCCCTGTGTGCGGTGAATTTGTGCAGCAGTGTAGAGATAGTAACTCCTATCAGACTATGATATAAGGAGTCTCTGCACTATGAAAAACTGTGTTGGCTGAATTAACCAGATCAGAAGGAATCTTGCACCAGAAAGTGTTGATCTTGATAATCTAAATTTGCACAGTCCCACTGATTTACAGGAAGGTGAGCATCAGGATTGCTGTTTTACTCTACAAATTCCTCTGCAGTACCAAAAATATATTTTTAGTGTTTTAGATTAAATTTAGCAATAATCTGCAGCACACAGACCTTTAGTACTCACAAATTTAAAATATGTGTTGTATTTCCTTTCTGGGAGTGATTCAGGTTCTGAGAACATAAGATTTAACATTGCAACCAAATGTGTTGGGCCTTCATTTTCATTCTATTTTAATAATATGCCACACAGGTATAACTGCAAAAACCAAATTAAAACACACATACACATACACCACCAAATTAAATTTAAAAATGTCTGTGGATCCTACTGTTTATAGTGTGAAGTTTCTTTTATACTCAGTTTCAGAATTTGAATGCCTCTCATGTAAAAATTGCTGATAAAGCACTCAGCTATGAAATTATTATGAAGCATACACATTTTTAAGATGAAATGTGATATGCTGTAAATTTCACCTTTGAGAGAGCTGCAAAGAGAATGGTATTAAGATGCTTTTAATCTTTTGAGAGAGAATGAATGGAACATTATTTCTCCGCATGTATCTAGATTGTTGCATGGATCTGATACACTGTCTCCTTTGCTGTGATATATTTGGCTTCATTTCATTTTTGTGTGGAGCTGAAGGCTGCGGAAGAGGTGGTAGGAATGCGTAATTCAGGTAGACCCTACAGACTTTATCAGATTTACAACCTGAAGGTTTGCTAAATAATACATTTAAGTGATAATAATTGACTAAATATGGTAACTGCCTATTTGTTAGAGCTGTGGCAGCCCAAGCAATATTTTCAAGTCTTTTCAAGGACATTCTTTATTAAAAATTGTGTTGCATGTAAAGCATTCATGCTACCCAACTGAATTACTTAAAACATTTAGTGGACCAATAAAACACTTTAATCTGATAAAACGTATCAAATTCCTTTGACTGTGTGTGTAGCATCCCTTTGATTGTGAGCAGAACTTTAGGTAGGAAATCCAAAGGAAAGATAATTTGCTGCCACAGATTTTGGTAGGAGTCATTGTTCCTTCCTCACCTTTGTCAGTCAATACCCATTCCACCCATTAGCCAATTCTTGGTGGACTTGTCAGCCTAGTGAGCTAAATAGAGATCATTAAATTTTTTTTCTCTTTAGTGCACTTTTATCTGGTACGTTTATAAAATATAATTTGCCTTCGTTAGAAATTTCTCTGTGTTTTTATTTGCATAGAGCTGTCTACATTTATAAGAAATGTAATGTACAAATTAAGGCATTTATACTACTTATAGCTTGTTTAATCCCTAGAGCCTTAAACTTAGAGATACATTTAGAAATGAGAATAGAACCATGTGTATGGCTAGTAGGGCAAAGAAAATGGAACTTTTTTTTAATGAAATAGAAGAAAACACCAGGCCCTATTTTCATCAAAGGGAAAATATAAGTTTATTCCCTATCATGTTTGACTATAAAAGTGAGCAGGAAGGTATCCAGCTTGGTAGTGTGATAGGAGTTATGCTGAAGGGAACAGTGGCAGAGGCTGGGTGGGAAAGGCTGTATGAGGAGGGAATCTCAGTGCCAGGCTGAGGGAGGTACCTCTAAGCTGGTAGACACTTGAGAGCCAGGGAAGGAATTTTTTTTTTAACTTTAATTTTTTGTGGTAGACTATACATGTCATAAAATTTAGTGTTTTAGTCATTTTAAGTGCATGATTCAGTGGTTTTAATTGCATTCAAAGTGTTCTGCAACTATCATCAATATCCATCTTCAGAACTTTTTCATCATCCTGTCAGAAACTCTGTACCCACTAAACAATGACTCTCCATTTTCTCCTCCCCACCAGCATCTGGCAACCTCTGTTCTACCTTCTGTCTATGAATATATCTATTCTGTGTTCACAGTATAAGTAGAATCATAGAATACTTGTCCTTTTGTGCTTGCTTATTTTACTTGGTATGTTTTCAAGGTTCATTCACGTTGTAGCATATATCAGAATTCCATTCCTTTTTAGGGCTGAGTAATATTCCATTATATGTATGTACTATATTTTGTTTATCCGTTCTTCTGTTGATGAACATTTGGGTTGTTTCCACCTTTGGCTGTTGTGACTAACTATGCTGTGAACATGGGTATGCAACTTATCTATCTGATTTCTTGCTTTCTTTTGGGTCTATACCTAGACGTGGAATTTCTGGATCATATGGTCAGGGAAAGTTGTTGAGTAGAGGAGGAACATGGTTAGAACAATGGTTTTGAAGGACAACCTAGATGGGTCTGAGTAGGTAGGATGGATTCAGCTACAGAGGTACAGGTGGGAGAGAGCCAGGAGAGACTGAGTCAGGAGCTGTTACAATACTCCAGACATCTTTAAGGGAAAGAGAGGTAATAGAGTAGTGTCTCCACAGTATAAGGTTGAAGATTAATATTCCTGAGGGTGATTCACAGGAAAAAGTCTTCTCTGGCAAGGGATATTTTGACCAGCTGTACCATTTGTTGGGCTCAAGAGAAATAAACTACTTTGGATTTTCTTTGCTTCTGTCTCTTGACTGTCCTTCCTATTCCCACCATCTGGTATAATCCTCCCAGTCTTGGACCACTCCCGCAGATCTCACCATAAGGAATGGTAGAATTAGGGGTTACTGTGGGTGGCATAGCTCAGTGTCCTTTTTCCACACCAAATACAAACAAAATCTAAATAAAAGTCAGTGTTCTTGATGTGCAAATACAGTTGCCAGAAAACTTCACCAACCACACTGGCCGATTAAACTGCCATCCCTAAGCCCCTCCTGTTATGGAAGTGCTAAACCATACACTTTTATTCTCATCCGAACCACACCTGGAAACTGCCAGAAGGGTGAGATGTTACTCCTGTCACTATGTTAAGTCAGGAGGTTTCAGTGCTTTCCCAGGAATGGTCATTAATTTGCCATGGGACCTGTGATGTCATGATACCCAGTGTCTCCCACAGCACCTTCTCATAAATGCTTGTTAGTATTGCTGTTGGATGGAGGCAAGAATGAACAAGTAGGCAGGATCATGGCAGCTCTGGACTTCAGCTTCTTCATCTGCACACGGAACTTGGGAGGAGCAACGGTGGGATGAACTGAAAGTGCCATAGGCTATAGCACTCTGTAACTCAGTCATAATCATCGGTATCCATTTTACATTGTCTGCAAATTCCTCTGGTCTGTAAAGGAGCCTAGTTACAGCGCCTACCCTGGTTGTTACCACTTCCTGAGGAAGCAGGACATAACAAATATATTAGTATAACAGAGATTATTCAGAGATAGACATTTGAGAGCCAAGAGTGGCTGAAATGGACCAACTACTTCCTGGGAGGTGGTTAGCAGTGAAGGGGTTGAATTACAAGGCAATAAGTTTTCAGTGAGGGAGGGGGGAGCAAAGGTAACAGTCCCAGAAAAGCTTCCCCACAGAGTCCAGGTATCTTGTTGACATTTTCGACATTAGAAACACTTCTTCCGCCATAAGTCACTTCTTCAACCATATTTTCCTTGGATGAGGTAAAAAGAAATAACAAGTGGAAATTTTTTAAATACTCCTGTCCCTTTCTTCTCACAGAAGGGAGAATGGAGGGAGGGCACAAACTCCTCACTTTATACATCTTTCGGTGTAGCAGTCACATCTTCTCCAACTATGTCAGAGGAACTGACAGAACTTCCTTCTTTTCCAACTTGGGTCATTACGGAACAGATGTAAGTTAGTATCATTTTAGCAAAGGAAGATTTAGGAGCTATGCTGCTAACGTCTGTGGGAGAGATGGGAAGGTGAGCTGGGCATGCAACGAAACTGTGACGGTCCAGCCAGTAGGAACTCCCAGCATTCCCTCCTAGGCCCAGAAGGTAACTCAGGTAGACCCTAACGCGGGAGGTGTGTCCTGCTTTGAGGACACCACATCTCAAAAATCCAAGGCTGACTGGAAGGATAAAGTTGTGAGATACACCGTGTAATATTCTTTGTATAAAGTTTGCTTTTTTTACTTTCCACAAAAATTTGATTTACAAAAGCCTTTTTATTGGGTAGAATTCCTTTAACTCAGTCAATTTATATATTTATATCCTCTCTCTCCAAGTATGATGAACTTGATGAAAAGGGTTTCCTCACAGTTTTTCAGTGAAAGCTGTGGACGTGCTTTGTTACGTCTCTTTTGAGTGCTCAGTGTTTCCCTGCTGGAACCTTACAGCACCCCAACCATGTACTATTCTGAAACTACAGAGTCCCAAAACACTATCTGAAGGAATGGCTTTGTTCAGCAGTGCTGATTCTACTTCAATAATAGTATTAACCAATCATGATATTCTGCCTCGTCATCATTATAACCGTGCTGTTATGTTCATTAAAGAACATCTTTTCTGGTCCAATAGACAACAGTCCTTTGTCCATCTGCCAGTTCTGGTGTTTCCATGCAGTAGCTCTGGATTTACTGATGCTAAAGTGTGTGTTATGGATTTCTTCTCCTAGATTGGTCGCTTGGTTATTGGACAGAATGGCATTCTCTCCACCCCTGCTGTGTCCTGCATCATTAGAAAGATCAAAGCTATTGGTGGGATCATTTTGACAGCCAGCCACAACCCAGGAGGGCCCAATGGAGATTTTGGAATCAAATTCAATATTTCCAATGGAGGTGAGTTTACTATCATTTGAAGTTAATCAATTTTTATTTCAGTAGGATAAAACAATAAGTGAGACCTTTGGAGACCAGATTTCTGGTTCTAATCCTTACTTAGCCAGGGGATTCTTCCATTCCGTTTAGTACAAGTGAAACCTTCCTCATTCTGCATGAGGAGCGATGCATGAGTGATCATTAACGTGATATTTTCTATTAGAAAATCCTGATACTTTGCTGCCTGAGTGATGGAATGGCATATATGCGAGTGAAGAATTGATAAGCTTTGTGTTCGTTCTGTTTTCATGTCAGCTGCACAAAATGACCCACTGTTCATTGTTTGATTTCCAGGTCCTGCTCCCGAAGCAATAACTGATAAAATTTTCCAAATCAGCAAGACTATTGAAGAGTACGCAATTTGCCCTGACCTGAAAGTAGACCTTGGAGCTCTAGGAAAGCAGCAATTTGACCTGGAAAACAAGTTCAAGCCATTCACAGGCACGTTTAATGCCCTCTATCTCCTGCCCATCCCTAGTTCCAACTTGAGCTGTTTGCTTTTCAAGGTTTTAGTAAAGTGGGTCTTCAGCTTTGGGAAGATTGTGGTCACTAAGCTTTGCACACATTAATTAGCCGGTCTGGAGCTAGGTCTGGGTGTCTAGAGACCTGTGCTCTCTGGGCCCTGCAGTGATTAGCTGTGTGACCTTGGGTTAATCATTACCAACTTTCTTGGCCTCAGTTTCTGTACCTATAAAATTAATGGCCTTGACTAGAACTGTAAGATTACATTCATGGCTAACATTATGGAGCGTTTTTATGTACCAGGCTCTTCATATGCAGTATCCCATTTCACTTTTATAGTAATAGTAGCCTTGTGAGGGCAGCACTATCCATATTCACCTTTTCCAGATGAGGAAATGAAGGCTGAGAGAGCCTAAGTAATGGGCTCAAGGGCACATAGTGAGTAGGAAAACAGGATTCAAACTCAGGTGTGAATGAGTCCAAAGCCTGGCTTTATTGTTTTTTTCCCTGCCCTAATATTCACAAAAATCAAATCAGACCATCTCTTGGGCTAAATTGAAACTCCTTGGGTAGGCAGCTATGGTAGACATTTTGTTACTGAATTCTGATGTATTACAATAATTGATGGAATAAATGTTTATAAATAATCTGTATGTATAAAATGAGGATGAGATGGTTAGCAATGTGACTTGCATTTTCACTACTCTAACGTGCACTCTTTCCTCTGGACTGCAGCTTTATAGAATGCTTTTTTTTGTTTGAACCTACTCATTGAGAGCTGACAATTGCATCCTAACAAAGATAAGAGGTGCTTTGGTGCACCTTGAAGACATTCTTAGGGTTTAGAAAAAACATCAGTAGAGAATTTCTTAAACTCAATGTTTGGAAAATGTTCAGACCCTTGAAAATCCTGCAATAAGAACAATAATACCGAATCTTTGTTTTATTCCTTAGCAATGCATGTGAAAAGTGATTCATAAAATTTTTTTTCCTGCCTTTTACTATCAAATCTTTATGGCAATGGACCTAGAAAAAGGAAAGGGAGGAAAAGTAGTTGTTACCTTTTCAGTTATTTATGACACCACTTCTCATGGGGATGGACAGGGACTCCATATGGCACAGAGCAGAGTTTACTATCAGGGAAATCATCAAAAATCCCATGTCTCCATCCCAGTAGAGTAGGCAAGTTACTTGACGTTTCAGACCTTGAGCTTCCTCGTCTATAAAATAGGACTAATAACGTTTACCTCTTAGGAAGATTGTTAGTATTGAATAAGGGACCACGTAGCAGCCCTGGTATTTTGGAGCTGCTCAGTAATTGTCCTTTTAAAATAGCTATTGCAGGTTTACAGCAATATAATCACTTCAAAGGAGAATATTTCTTAATGTTTAGTCTCTCCATCTTTTTAATGTTGCCTGTTCTCACAGTGGAAATTGTGGATTCCGTAGAAGCTTACGCTGCAATGCTGAGAAACATCTTTGATTTCAATGCACTGAAAGACCTGCTCTCTGGTCCAAACCGGCTCAAGATCCGTATAGATGCCATGCATGGAGGTATGGAGCCATTTTTCTTCCATTCCTTTCTCTCAGATATATATGAAGGTGCTCTCTGCATGCTCTGTGCCTGTCATGGTGCTTTGCAAGTCCTTTCTCAAGACTCTCTGGTTGATGGATTTTAAACAGTTATTTTGGCAACATTTCAGAGCATTATTCACACAGATAACAATCTAATTGTACGCAAGAATAGTAGACATTCCTCATGGTAAGGTAGTGTGAAGGTCAGTGTTTCCACATTAACCATCAGGTTTTGAGTAACATGAAACTGTTCTTTGTGAGCTCTTCCTCCCCCTCAGAAGATAGGTCACATTCTTCCAAACGCCCCCGTCTACTTCCGGGAGTGGGGGGGCCGTCATCTCCTGGGTCTCACACCCACTCAGCTGCCCCGGCGGCGTGTGCCTTTTCTTAGAAGAGCAAAGCTTACAAGAGCAAGCTGAGGACTAAATGTGGGAACAACAGATGGGTATCTCTCTCTCTCTTCCTTCTCCATGGGTTGTGTGGCCGGGTCAGTAGAGATAATAGCCATCACTGTGAATCAGAACGAGGAAGATTTTTCACATATAGGAATATGGGAATTCCTGAGCACTCAGGTGACTTGTTTGTTTTGTAATAATTTAGAATTTTAGAATCTTTAAATGGCAGATTTTTTCCCTGGTCTTGGAATCCAGCTGCCTGGCTAGTTGGGGAAGACTTTCTGCCTATGCTTGAACCGTTTTGATGATGCCATTTAAGGCCTCCCGTTAAATTGCAGAACCGAAGTTCGAATACTTTCTCATGGTGGACTGAAATCTTCCATCCCTGAAACTTTGCCCTTGGGTCCCAATTTGCCTCCAGAGTCCACAGAATGTGTCTACTTCCTTATTCAGACAGCTATTCTGTCATTTCACACAAAGAGATTAAATAATTTTCCCAAAATCATACAGCCAATGATTGGCAGAGCTGGGATTCAAACCCAGATGCTCTGATTCCAGAGTCTAGGCTCTTAAACACTAAGGTATGCCATCTTGTGAGCTTTTACTGAAGGACTGAGTGAGAAAATGGTTGAGAAGCAACTGGCACAGGTATATAGTAGTATCGCCCCTTCCCCAACTCTTCTTTATCAGCTGGCCCTACCCTTTTCAACCTAATTTCTTGTTATTCATTTGAGTAGAACCTTCTATTTCTGTCAGAATTACTGTCTCTCCACTAGCTCCTGTGTACAGTTTTCATATTGTCTCTCTTGTTTGTGCAAATCTCCCTAGAATACCTCCACCTCATCTCCAAGTCTTCACATACTTTAATAAGTTTTATTTTCTGATTCTTCATTTCATGCTTTGCACAGTTGTGGGACCATATGTAAAGAAGATCCTTTGTGAAGAACTGGGTGCCCCTGCAAACTCGGCAGTTAACTGCATTCCCCTGGAGGACTTTGGAGGCCACCACCCTGACCCTAACCTCACCTATGCAGCTGACCTGGTGGAGACCATGAAGACAGGAGAGCATGATTTTGGGGCTGCCTTTGATGGAGATGGGGTAGGTACAAGTGCATTTAAGTGAACCTGATGCAGACAGGCCTGATCCTGCAGCCGGGGAAAGAAGGGCTGTTCTGGCAGGCCCTGTGGGCTCAGTGACAGTCGAGGATTCCTTGCCGCACCTGGGGTCAGAACTAAATTATTAGAAGACCCTCTTGGACAGAAGTGAGTCCTTGAAATGTCACGCATGTCTTTGATTTCAGATGTTCATGTTTCCTAAGAGTGGCTGGGTGATTAAGGCCCAATTATAACGTAGTGACTGGTACTTCATGAGTTGGTTGGTTTATAGATACCCATCCTAAAGTAGGTTATTGTAGTCAACCAGCAGCTGGCTACTTATTCAATCTCTGTAAAGGGTTTTAGTCTTGTAATATACAGATTTGTTCATTCACATTAGCTGAGTGATAAAACTATAGTGAGAGAATTAACCACATTCCTTCTCTACAATTAATATTTTTAATAAACAGGCTGTTTTACTTATTGATGAATATATAACAAGGAAGAGATATATTTTAGTCAGTTTTGTATTATTGGTAGCTCAGAAATAGTAGGTACTACACAGGTTTGCCTAGTTGAAAAAATATTTCTGTTGTTAATATTTTTCTTTAACATCATTTGGAAGCCACTGTTTCCTAAAAAGTAATTTTTCCCATATGAATATTTTGGGATGTTAAAGGGATCCCTAGCAGACATTATTTTTCAATGTGTCTTCCTGAAACAGTGCGTCATGGGAGTCGGTTCCCTCCATACTGTGAGTTACTTGAGGGCTTCCCATATACCAGGCACCAAAGAAGCAGTGGGGGAGGCAGCGTCATTGTTGGGTCCTGCATCAAATGGAGAGCCCAGGAAGCCCTTCCTGCAAGAAATCTGCCTTGTTCCTTGAAGGTGCCTGGTAGACCTAGCAGACTATATAAACAGCCAACATTTCCTCTTTTGTTGCAATCTCTCCTCTGGGAGAGAGGTGACTACTTCCAGAATTTGGAAAAGGTCTAGGATGTTAAAGTCAGCTGGCCTCTGGAGAGACAATGGAATATCCAGGTCGAAAGGAATCTGTGTTTGCACTTCAGTTGAAAACAGTTTGAGCTTTGGCATAGAGGTGCCTTCAACCCAGTGGTACTGTACAGATCTGTTAGAAACAAAATCCGGTGTTTAGAACACAGTATGAATAAGGATATCAGTTTAAAATTTTATAATTGAATACACTTCATAGCTCCCCTGTGTAAGGATAGTTTGGTTTCTTCAGCAGTTGGATTAAAAGATTTTCCTTCAAATCCCCCTTCTCCTAAGGATCGAAACATGATTCTGGGCAAACATGGGTTCTTTGTGAACCCTTCAGACTCCGTGGCTGTCATTGCTGCCAACATCTTCAGCATTCCATATTTCCAGCAAACTGGGGTCCGAGGCTTTGCACGCAGCATGCCCACCAGTGGTGCCCTGGACCGGTAGGTCACTCTGTTGCCTTGGCCCTCACCATGCTTTCCCTGCTTTCAGCTCGGGTATCTGACACATAGTATGTGCTTGCTAAGTGTTTATTTTTTGAAGGAAGGGGTGGAGTGTTTTCTGGATGAGATGTCCCTCTCTGTGCCCCCTGTGCACTTCTCCCATTCCTGAACTTTTCACGCTGTGTTTGCAGAGCCTGTTTACTCCACCATCCACCCTGCTAGACTATCGGCTTTTGCAGAGAAAAGACAGTCTTATTCACTGTCCTAAACTCTGCCTGACCACAGGATGCTTAGCACATAGTAGGACACACACACGCATGTACACTGTTGAACAAATGAACCACTGAATGTTAATGAAGAAGTGAGTGGATGGTATTTCCGTTGTAGGGAGGACATCATTCTAGAGACTTGCTTTCCTAGCAGTGTCCAGGCAGCCTGGGTGAAGCAGTTTGAAGTAGGATCACTGTTTCAAAAGGACTTTCAAAGAAACATTCCCCTTTCATCCCTTGTTGGATGCCCATGTACACACAAAGTAAATGTTCATTTATCTGAATCTACACAAACAGAAAGCTCGAGTAGTTGAAAGAAATTATGATCAGTTCTTAATGAGAAAGAAAGGATCCAGTGACAGTAAACAGTTGAAATCTCTGGTTTGCATATTTGTTTATTTATTTATTATGTATCACATCACTTACAAAGGCTTATGAGATCACATATAAAACAATAGAAAAATAAATTGCTGAATCATTGCTGAATGAATGGACAAAGAACAAGTGAATGAATAAAATACCAAGGTCAGAGAGGAAAGCAGAACGTGTATATCTAGGCTCTTATAATAGTAATTAACATTTTTTGAACACTACCTGGTGCTACACACTAAGTACTTTATGTGTTTCCAGTCATTTAATTCTCAGGCCAACCCTGTGAAATAAATGCTGTATGTAGCCCCACAGTCCCAGGTGGGGAAAAAAAAGGACAAAGAAATTAAATATCTTTCCCAAGGTCACCCAGCTAGTAAATGACTGTGTTAGGATTTGAACCCAGGATCTTGGCTTCCACTGCTGGGCCATGCTGGAGTTGCCTACTGTGGAGGTAGAGTAGGGGTGTGTGTTACAGAATTCATAGAGCTGACTTCACCTCAGCTATCTAAAAAATTACTAATATTTGTTTAGTGGTTTGTAGTATACACAGAGCTTTTTTGCATTCACCATCTCAGTTGGTGCTCACAGCAATCGTTCTCTTAGAGAAGAGGACACCAAAAGTCAGACGTTAGTAGAAGCCCACAGCCAAATCTGAGCTAGAATTAGAACTGGTGTTTCTGCGTCTACATCCCACATCTGAAGCTGTGAGCTGGTTTCGGCCATGCTAGTGTACATGAGACCTGTCAGGTCCGGAAATACCTTCTCTGTCATCCAAGAACAGTTTCATTCCTTTTTCTGGAAAAATTGATAATCTGCATATCAAATCATCACCATAGAAATAACTCATTACACGGACAAAAGTTTATTGTGCTTGCGTTTTCAAAATCATAGATTTAATCTTCCTCCAGTGGTAGACTCTAAACATGGCATTGCTTTGTTAGCAAAAAGGCAAGCATTCTGGAAAGCAAAGCTCACTAAAACTGAATGAAATGTAGGTACTTTTCCCATTTAGAGGGAAATGAACTTTTTTTAAAAAGTCACTTAAAGGAGGTTTTTAATAGTCTAAAGACATATATAGAGAAAAAGATGTGTGGGAGGGGACAGGGAGCAAGGATCAGTGTGGGTGAAGTCGGCGCAGATGGGGCCCTACTGGGTACTGTCCTGCAGGTCTTCGGGTGAGATGAAAGGAGCATTGACTGGGCAGCTGATAGGAACTGGACAGTTGGTCGTCCTCACTGTCTCACTGTGTGACCTTGGGCTGCTCATAACATTCTAGACCGTTTCCTTTTCTTTAAATAGTCTGTGTGATTCCAGTATTCTATGATTCTATAATTATAAGTGCATGAAAATATCATTTGTTCTTTGTAGAATATAAAGTATAAACAGTCTGTATCTAAAACATAGGAGTTCAAACAGCCTACACAGCAGCCTTGCGACATTGTGCTGCAGTTGCTGTTCTGAAATGTTGGTCAGTGATCTGAATTGAATTAATCTCTTCTTCTTCCTCTTTTACCCCCTCTGAGACTCCATGTATAATAGCCCATTGTGCACAAGTTTTCTCTTATGATTTTTCACCAGTCTTAGAATCATGTGTACCTCTGAGCAATGCCAAATAGAACCCTCTATTACAATAGCTGTTGCTATTCTCCATCCCTCACATGGCTATGCTAACAGTCCTGCTGTGATATAACTTTGATTTCATGCCTTTGAAGGGTGGCTAATGCTACAAAGATCACTTTATATGAGACCCCAACTGGCTGGAAGTTTTTTGGGAATTTGATGGATGCAAGCAAACTCTCCCTTTGTGGGGAGGAGAGCTTCGGAACTGGTAAGTGTGCAGTCCTGCACCACCCATTTCTTCCCTGTGAACACTACTTGCGGTGAGAGCTTAGACCACTAAGGCAGCATGGGAATAGCAGTGGTAGCTAATGTGCCCTAATCATCAGGCTCCAGTTTATTTATAATGACCCTGGTGAAGTGTCTGCATATGAAGAGCTGCTGGCACGTTCAGCCAAGGAGGGCTCATTCTGCTCTCAGGGGATCACATCCACCGAGACAGCAAGTTTGGGGCCCCCTCGGCAGTGTGGTTGGTCACTGAGTCTGTAGGGATTAATCAGAGTGATAAACATATTTTTCTTCCCTCAGTGGTCAAGGAAACCTTTATAAATGTTTTCATTTCTGGGAAGAAATATGGTGGCATGAGTCAGTTTTTCGTTTTTATTTAAGAGGAGGTTTCAGCAGAACATTAAATGTTTCTCTTTAATAGGCTTGAGTTTTCTGCAGCAACAAGTTATGATTTATTAAGTTTAAATGAAAGGAGACTATTAGGATGTAACTAAAATTAGCATCTTAGTGATCAAGAAATTAGAAGTACATCGTTGTCCATGTCTGTGTAAGGGGTGATACGATAGCAGAGTGGAAAATGGCATGCTTTGGGGGTGTCCCACGACTCTTATGCCCCACTTTCTGTGCTCTCCCTCCTCCTTTCTGCCTGAAATACTGAATTCCCACCCCCATGACCTTCTCTACTATGCTATCCTACCCATGTCAATCTCTTCTCTAAATATCCATTCAGGCAAGTGGCCCTCTTCCATGTGTTGGTCTCCAAGCAGGTTGCAAGGTTTTTCAGGGGCTGCTCCTAGTCTCTCTACCCAATATTTTTGAAGTAAAAGGACCAGTGTTCTTGGTTCTTCAGTATTCTAATTCCATCCTTTGGCAAAGAAATGAAATCAAAATCTAGCATTCTGTCAGCCTTGCAATTGAGTTGCAATGCATGCTAGGTTAAATAGAATAGAATGCTGATTTTCTTTCTTTTCCAAAAGTCCTGCCTGGGATAGGGTGGGTAGGATGAGTTGGTAAATTTGCAACACCTGTTTACAAAGTTCTAAGCATTTAATAGCCGAGGGAGAGTGGCAGTTCCATGGCCATGAATTGACTTGATAGCATTGTAGGGTGTCAAGGAAGATGGATGAGTCCTGGGATTGAACAGTGTCCACAGAGAAGGTGCGATGATTCCCAGGGTTCTAGGGTTTTGATCAGAGAATACAAAGCCACTGCTAGTCCTTTCCTACCTAAAATATGGATGGTACCTGCCATGTTACTTCCTGGGGTACTAGATGAATGCCCAGTGAACCTGTGAGGTGGTCTGCATAAATTCCCTGCAGTGTTATCCAGGGCAGGCTTGTTGTCAGTCATTCTTCTTTATGGATGAAGCTGTCTTTGGAGGCAGGCACCACGTCTTAACCTTTGGTTTCCTGACCCCATGTGCCTCTATCAGTGCTGAGTCTCATGAAAAGAGAAAAACCTAGACAAGGTTCCCCAGGGTATTTGGGTATGTGGAAGGGTACTAGTTCCATGAGGGACTTCTGAGTTCATTGAAATCTGGGAAACTGGAATACCCCTCTCTGTCTTGGTTATTCACAGTGATGTTAGCATCTGAAGATTCCAAAGCATTCTACAGTGAAGAAGCCTGTTTGTACAGTTTTACCTAAAATGTAGTTAGCAGCATATGCCTTTTTTCTTGGTACATCTAGTAACATCTGGCCCCAGGCCCATGGAAATGCCCTGGGAAAGGTGGGTCCAAGCCCTGGAGCCAAGCAGGAGTCACAGGTGCCGACCGTTCAGGAACAGGCCTGAAGACAGGATAGCACAAGCTGTTCCTCTTAACTAGACAGGCCTTCACAGGCTGGAGGGCAGCTTTCAGGTCCTCCTTTTCTGGGCTGCTCATCCTTAGTTCCCCAGTCGTTCCTCACCACCAGCACCAGCTTCAAGATGCTCTCCAGTTCACCAGTGCCCCTCGTAGATCAGGTCCATAACTGAGCCTAAGTCCTCCAGGGTTAACCTAACTGGCAAGTAAAGAGTGGAGTGAGATGGTTATTTCCAGGGAACCGGGCCCTGTGCTTTTCTTGATACATCTTTCATTTATGTTAGCTTTTAGGACGTTTCATAATGCTTGTTTGGCCCATGTGATGTAGATAACTAAACTGCCTTAAGTTTTTAATACTTGGGAGCATTTGCCAAGAAAAGTTTCCCATGTTACATCTGTGGAATTGATTTCTTTGAATCCAAGTATTAGACTTTAAATTATTCCTTGTTAAAGTTTGTTCATGTTTGTTTATTCAACAAATACTAAGTGCCAACCATGGTTTTATCTTCCCTTTGATACCTTTTTTTATCCAAAGAGAGAATGTATTACAAGAATAACCCACAAATGCTTTCTCTCTCTTTGAAAAAAGGGAATTGTTTTGTAATATTTCTGAGATAAACATTTAAAAAATCAGGCTGCTTAGCCATGGGGCTTCACCGCTGGGAATGAGAGCAGCTGAACTTCTTTAACAGAACTTTGGGTCTCCTTATTTATAGAGGAGTTAATTTCCACCCACTGCTTCCCTTGCTGGCAAATGCTTCCAGAGGTTCCTATACAGTTTCTCAGGGTGGACATTAGCATTTCTATGAGCTTTGAAATATTTGAATTCTATAGCTTGGTTGCATATGGGGTCATTTATTTCTAGGACAGCAGAGAGAATTTCTCAGGAAATTCTCTCCAGAGTGGGTCAGATCCCCTTATTATTCTCTCTCATGGCACCACACACCTCTGTTGCACCTATGGCAGCTGGAATTTTACCATTATTTATAATTAATTGATTCATGTCTGTTGGATCCACTAAACTGTAAGTTCTGTAAGGAGAGGAGTCACATCCATCTGCCTGGTAGATATTCTCAATCATATTTTCAGAGCTTCCTATAAAGCCCAGCCTAGAAGAGGTGCTCAGCAAACATTTGCTGAATGAATGAGAGAACACTCTAATCTGGCACCCTCCATTTAGACAAACAGAATCCAGGTGTTGGTAGGGAAAGGACTTTACAAGTCATCTGATGTAATTTACTATGTATTGCTGGAATTAAGTGAGCAGTCAATGCTCTTTTGCTTAAATACCCACCTCATTGGAGAATCCCCACCTCACCTCTTGCAGTGGTCTAGGATTCTTGTGTAGGCTCAATACCACTCCCACTCTACAGTCCAGAACTGGGCACCTAAGGTCTTTGTGAGAAAAAAATGAGCTTTTAGAAAGAAAACAAGTGTACTTGCAAACAGATTCAAAGAAGTCAGACCTCAGAAGAGCTGGCTTACCAAACAGAACAAACCACTAGCATTTGAAAGCGTAAGCCATAATATTACTAATGTTACCAGGTACACATTATTCTGTTCATAGTAGAGAAACAGCAGCTGTCCTCACATGATTATCACAGCCACAGAGGCTCGGATGCTTCCTGACACCAGCATTACAAACACCAGTGATGAGGATGTTTTCGTCAGGACTCAAAGAGGGCACCAGAACTGGATGGGATGAACCTGTTATTTTTGGATGATCACGTGGTGCAACATTTTTTCCCCCAACTGTGGATGCTGATGTATATGTTTGTACACAGTGGCCGAGGCTAAAGGTCAGTTCTGTCCCACCTTGCACCTGTTGGAAAATTGGAAGGAAATAGAAAGTGAAGCCACTGAATAGAATAGCATGTCACTGCTTTTGAAACTGTTCCTCAAGAAAATTGAGGATCTTGGGGGAAAGAGGTAAAGGAAACCAGGTTGAAGATGAACGTGGTATCAAATGGCAATATGCCAGTGAAGTATGATCTGGTCAGGTATAGTGGTCAGCAATATTTCTTCCCTGTCCCATCTGTAAAAGGTTCTAGTGAAGATGCATCATACAGGAGTGATAAGTTGTAGAAGTACAGCATAAATGCATTGCAGATTTCTTTTAATTTTCATTTCTCATGAAAAGCCCTTCATGGTTGTACTACTTTTTATCAACTCATTCCTCAGATGTTTATTGAACTTTAACTGTAACCCAGATACTGACTTAGGCCCTGTGGACACAATGGTGAGCATAACCTCCTTGTGCAGGGCTCTGTGGAGTCCACATTTGTGGGAGAAAGCCAGACTTGGGCCAGGTAATTACAAGTGTACAAAGTGATAGAAGGTGAAGTATGGCAGCTCTGGAGGCTTTATATTCATGGTACCAAACTTGGTTCTGTGGTGTAAGGGATTTGATTTTCAGTCTGGTTTCTGCCCACTCTAATTTGCATTGCTCAAGATACATTTTCCTGTAGGCAAATCCTACACAGAAAGGTTAGAACATTTCATCTCTGGAGATTTTCCATCGGAATACCCCAGTAGAATTGGGCTGATACCCTAATTAGAACTAACTCAGTTAAACTATTATCTGCATGTGTGCCTCCCTCACCTGTGTATCTGTGCTCACCTGTGAGGGTAGGTAACATGTCTTACTTATCTTGGTATTTCTCACATACTTGGAACATGGTAGGCACTGATCTATATTTGTTGAGCATAAAATGAGATTGGGTTAAGATATAGTTCCTGCCCACCAGGCACTTACTGCCTTCCTCCAACAGAAACAGAGTTTCAGGGGTAGTCACATAGTAGTGCCGGGTAAATTGCTAAATTAGTTGGAAGGTCTGGGGGTTGCTGAAGGAGAACCCTCTGAAGTCTGGACTGATCTAGAAAAGGCTTCCTGAGAAGTTTATCTGACCTTTCAGAGTAAAGCCATCTGTGGACTGGAAGGCAGTGAGGACAGGACAGTGGACAGAGCAGATCTGCTGGATCTCCCTGCCAGTCAGGTGGGCTCTGATCATTCTTTGGCCAAACCCTTATTGAGAGTGGACTGACGCCTGGCACTCGCTAGGGATACAGCTCATACTATGGGGCAGGGTGAGAACAGACAGGGTATGATAGAACCTAGGGCAACAAAGAAGCTATCCTGGATAAGGGTGAAGTTGAATGCCATTTCAGATGTCAGCCAGGCT